ATGTTAAGTTTAAAAATGGTTGTTCATACGTATATCTGAAAGTGTACAATGCACTTTAAACTTTTAAAAATAAAATGGTTATCATAAACATCACACTTGTTTGTGACCAACCTCTCTCTCTCTCTCTCTCTCTTCTCTTTCTGTCTCAGGTGGTGTTGGGCTTGGAATTTGAAGAGAAGGAAAGGACAAAAGAAGAAAATGAATAATGGGTAGACCCACGTACACCTAAAGCTCTGAGCATCTTTAAATGTCATTTAATGGGGGAGAAAGATGTTCTGTTTAGCTACACAGTTTCACATGTTTCCCTTCTCAGAATTGTTGAAGTGTTATTGTCCCTAATAACCATGCAGGAGAAACAGAAATATTTTCTCCATTAACATTAGAGGTTCTCCTTTAGGACAGAAACATTAAAGCTAAATGCAAAACTGATCCACCACCCCTGGAGTGAGCACAAACACTAACATCAACTCTTCAATGCTAAAATAAATCCTCTCCTTTTCCTCTTTTGTCACTTTCAGAATTCTAAAATTCTTGATGGAATACTTGTATTGCTCAGAAATACCTAGCAGGTCATTTGTTCTAGTGCTTCAACTTTATTATCCCACAGGACCCTAGATAAAAGAGAGACCTCACAGGGATCTCTTTCCTTTTCCAGCCTTCAACACCTGATTCTCAAAATGTTTACGCCTGTGGACTCAGGAAGGCCTCTACAGATCCCAGCTTGTCCATGGAACACTATTTGAGAATATCTAGTCTAGGCTATCGCACTGCTTGCTGTATATAAGATAGTCCCTGCCAACTATTTACTAATCATCTTCTGGTTTGGTAAATTACACTAGCATGAACTCCTATTTTTCGGATATTACTACAACTGAATTACAAACATCATGAAAGAACTTAAATTCAGAACTAGCTTTCTGTCTCAGGAGAGACATTGAAAAATGCAGTCAGGAAGTAAAGCATACAAGACTATTTCAAACCACAAAGCTTATGATGAATTCAGCAAAAGCTGCTTTTAATTTTGTATCATTTGTGGTTTTTCAAAGTTTATAAACTATTTTTACATGTTTTTCCAGACAGTTATGTTCTTTAGTTAGGTTTTTGAATGAGTTTTAAAAAAACAAACAAACCCTTTTGCCCCAACAGAGTCTCCTGCTTCTAACTTGCTAGTTTGCACTGTGTAATCTTTTTCAGCTTATATTGGTAGTTAAGAGTCCCTGATTTGGTATTACTCTCCTTTTACACTGGCATAACAAGAGAAGGCAGGGAGAGGAAACCCATCCAGGAAGTGAGGCTTTAGCAAAGAATTACATCAGTTTCTTCATATTAATACTCAGTGCTCCTGTTCTCCCCTCCAAGATGTACCAGTGTTGATGGATGAGTATTTCTGACTCAGCAGATCGTACCACACTGTGAAGTACATCTTCATAATAAAGATACCTGTGCAGTGACAGCTGGATTAAGTGGTATTTTATTCACATATCAGAACATGGAGGGATATATAAGCAACCACAAATCCTCTAAAACAAGAGGTGCTTTTGTGATATCTCCTATGAACTTTATTACTATTTGTTGGTTAGAAAACTTCAATTAAAAATATTGTGCAAAAATATTTATATTTTCCCATTTTCTGACCAGCTCTCTTATTTATCTGAATTTACTAGATACCACACATACAAATTGAGACACTCCATGTCATAAAGAACTTACAAACTGAATGTAAAGTGGACTCAAACCATCACCTCTGGCAACCATGTTGACAGCATCCGTAGAAAACAAAGGACTAAATTATAAACAGCAGCTTAACCTTTTAGCCTGAAAGAGGTCAAAGTGCTTTACAAACTGTCTTAATTAATATTTGAAAAGTGCTCTGAATTATTGTTTTGGAGAAGTAGTAAACTCATGCTACATTTTAGCGCAAGATTAAAAAAAACTCACAAAATTAACTCACAGTCCTGAAGAAGATGGCACTTTCCCACCGAATTCTTATCTGCTGACTATACTCATACTGATTTTATGAAAGACAAGGGGATGTTCACTCACTATGACAGCTCCATCAGCAGTTGCAAGAAATGCATTTCCCTTGACACTTTCATCAGAGATATGTGTTTGTACCTACACAACATCTTCATGAAATTCCACTATATAAATGTCAGAATACAAAACTCAGATAACTTAGGTACCAGTGATAGTACTTTCAAATGGCGTAAGATAAAAAGACAGACAAGCCTGCTCTGTGCCTGGAGGGCCTCACCGTCTAGTACATGTGAAGTCTAGAAACTAATGATAGCTAGTGCATAGTCTCCTTTAACTAAGTTGGTTGAGCTGCTGCTTTTAGATTTTTAGTTTCTGGAGTACAAAACCAAATTGGGATGGGTTACCTATACAATTTTTAGTGGCTCTTCTTAAGATAATGGCAGGGCAGACATGAAATAGCATTTGCTTGTCAAATTCTCAATCAAACAATAATAGGGGGCAAATTTAATAGTGATCCAAATGGGTTAAAATAAATAGCCATCATAATATAGTTGAGTTTCATAAAGCAAAATATTGATTTTAACACCCAAATGCTGGCAGCTCCTCAGACACTGAAAAATGCTTGATGCTTGTTTAAGCACTGACTGACATGCCACGTGGCATGTCTACCCACACGTCACAAACCTAGCTAGCTAGGAAAATATCATACCCACATTCCACTACCACCATTCACCACAGACTACTTCCAGCACTGGAACTACATAGAAAAATCTGTGACAAATTTTCTGACAAACGGCCTCCTGTGTGCAATCATCTCTATGCTTCCAAGTCAGACGGCAAAGCAAGACTGACATCCTGTGGTCACTCTCAATGTCTGGGGAGTTGCGTTCACTCCCTTCTTCTATTCACTCCCTTCTTCTATTTAAAACTCTTAGATAAAGCAATGATTTTTACAATACAGAGGTAAAGTTCCTGTGCAGTCTACTTTCTATTAAATATTGTCAAGGAGAGAGTGAAGCATTTCTTTGTTCTTATTGGTGGCCTTTTACTTTGGACACTACTCATGAAACACAATATATAGTCCATTTAAAATTCATCCAGAAATTAAGGAACGTATCTATTTATATATCCTATAGTCTAGCTGTATTTCTAAAGCACTTATCACCATGCTATTTAGGTGGCTGAGTCCAACGTCCACTGTCGTCAATGGCACCATTAAAGCCGGGCGGGCCAGCCACGTCCCCCAGCGGGAGGGGCAGGGCGGGGCCCCGCGTGAGTGCCCCAGGAAGGGCGGGAAGCTGGCCAGGGAGCGGGAATCAAGACGGTTGCGTCCTCACCGCGCTCAGCCTGCTTGGGACGGGCGAGCCCGGTGGCAGGAAACGGGCCGCCTGACTAAGGGGCTGGCCCTGGGCTTCCCCCTCCCGCCCCCGGGGAGGAGCCCGGCCACGCCTGGAGGTAGCGCGCGCCCCCCAGGCGAAAGACCGCAGCCAAGCAGTACTCCAAGCCGTATCCCGAGGACCGCAGAAACGGGGGCTGCGCATGCGCCTAGACGACAGCGCGGCAAGCGGGCGGCCGCGGCTCACGCCGGAGCGCGGGTCTGTGCGTGCGGCGGGGCGGGGCCGACTCGTGAGAACTAGAGGGACTGCGCAAAGTGAACGAGGAGAGCGGGGCGCGACCTCCACGGGAGAGGCCGTTCGAGCAGCCGCGTCGGACACTCCAGCCCCCCCCCCCCCTTCAGATCAAAAATAGTCAAGGCCCCTGCTAATGCTGCAGACAAGAAAGCTGGGGTCCCCGCCCCCAATGCCCCACCAAGCTTGGCCCCTAAACCCACCAATACCTAAATGCTCCCCCTTGGGGAGATACGTAACGTGGCCCTCAACGCTTGAAAACGGGTCGGGACTTTTCCACCCAGCAGGAGATGCAGAAAACAGCCTCCACTTTAAACCCTTCTTGCATTGATTGTTCCTGTAGTCAAGGTTTCCAGGTGCCCATGGCTGGTGCTAGACAATGAAGGAGATGGAAACTGAGATACAGAGAAGGTTCATCTTAGTAACAGTTTGAAGTTGATTATCACTCATGGGCTAGTAACAGACCTGCTGGGATCCAAATCTGCTTAATTTCCTGTGAGGAGTCCAGTGGCATCTTAAAGACTAACAGATTTATTTGGGCATAAGCTTTACCTGCAAAAGCTTATGCCCAAATAAATCTGTTAGTCTTTAAGATGCCACCAGACTCCTCCTTGTTTTTGTGGATACAGACTAACACGGTTACCCCTCTGATACTTAATTTCCTGTATATTTCACATTCTGAAGCATAACTTCAACCTAACCATTTGTCTCTTTTCCCATCCCCTTTGTGGGGATGGAGCGGGATGTTAGAGTCAGCATGCAACCAGATATGTTAGGTAAAAACACAAGATACTTTTTCCGGAAGATTGCAACATAACACTACTTTATTTGTTAAAATCCAGAAAGTTAAACACTCAAGAACCAAAAACACAGAAAGCAGACTGCTCAGTAAGGCAGACTGGCACAGTTCACCCCACTGTGCTGTACAACGGCTCTTTGCAGACTGCAGAAGACCCAGATTGCACACTTCCCTGTAGAGCCTCCTAGACCGCAAGCAGGATCAGGAAATCCCTTATAATTTAAAGCAACAGCTTGTATTATGAATAAGGCTATTTTTGTTTCAGCCCCAGGGGCCAAGGGACTGCAGCTGGCAGCCATCGGGGCCCAGAAAGGATTCCAGCAATGGGACAGCCTCCTCATGGAGCCCTCTGCAAGATTCTAGCGACAAGCGACAGCCTCCTGTGGGAGCCTCCTCAGGGTTCCAGAGATGGGCTACTGCCTCGCACAGTAAGCGGGGGCGGGAGGAGACAAGCACAGAGACATCTTGTTCTTCATCTCAAGGTGACCCTCCTAAATGGCCCTTACTGCCAAGTCGGAGCTGATAGCTCTACATAAGAAGGTGTCAAAATAAATTTGATATCGTAATGAGTTCCTATCCAATCTCTGCCGTACTACAGAACTAAGAAAATAATAGCTGGAGGGAATCCTCTTCCTGTGTCTAAATCCTGAAAATCACACTGAAATGCTGACACCTGCAGCCGTCCTGGAAAGCTGAGGTGAGGTGGAGTGGTAAGACAAATGCTGCTGTTTTAGGGTTTCATCCTAGTTAAACCTTCAGTGTTGTACTAGAGAGAAAAGATGGGTTCTTTATGGCTTCTCCTAAGAGCTTCTCTTTGTGTTGAACCCTTAACATATTTTAGGCTGGTGTACAATTGACAAAGAAATTAAGGCTCCCTGACTACTACTCTGAGGCCATGAATTGACATCTTAGCCTCTTTTTGCAAAAAGAAAAGGAGTACTTTTGGCACCTTAGAGACTAACCAATTTATTTGAGCATAAGCTTTTGTGAGCTACAGCATGAAGTGAGCTGTAGCTCACGAAAGCTTATGCTCAAATAAATTGGTTAGTCTCTAAGGTGCCACAAGTACTCCTTTTCTTTTTGCGAATACAGACTAACATGGCTGTTACTCTGAAACCTAGCCTCTTTTTGTTACTTACTCATAATTGATTAGTTTCTGATGGTGTGACCAGAGTTACATTGCAACTAATTAAAAATGTCTTAGGATGTGCACACTCCCACCATGGCCCCTTTGTGTTACATGCTGTACAAACACATCAGATAATACAGTCCCTTATTAAGATGAGTTTGTCATTGTATTCAGAACCCTTACAGTAATATTACTCAATAAAAGAGAAGCTAAAGGAGAAAACTGTCCAGGTAAAAAGAGCTTCCAAATATTTTATGCAGAAGTGACATAAGTACCCTTTTCTTAGTATTAGCTATAATATACATAAGGAGGCTTTCAGCACTGCATCCAGTTGGACACATTAGCACTGCTACCGGGAAGATGAGATGGATAAACTAAGGTCCTCTAGGAGAATCAACATATTGCAGGCAGTAGCAAATGAACTTAGCTAAGCAGCATGAAAGACATTTACTTTGGAATATATAAACTTTTTACTGAGGGGGCAAACTTATGTTGCCAAGAGAATAATTGCTTCCCTGCAGTGATCCCCCTAACTGATTCTTCAGAATAATTATAGGTCATATGAGTTACTGCTTGGAACCAACAGTACATTAGTCCCAAACAGTCCTGAGTGGAATAAACACCATCTAAAGAAAAATTGGTCCTTTTTATAACAATAATGGATATTTGGTCCTCTGTGTACAAGCATTGGTGGGCACCTTAAATATAAATGATTAGTTTACAGTATTAGCAACTAAAGCACTATGTCCCAGGTAAGTATGAAGCAGGAGGCGGAGGGAGGGAGGAAGCCATCCTCTACACTTCACAATTTCCCTGAAAAGAGCAAATATTAAAATAACGAAGAGATTAAGAGATGTAAGTGTGTACTGGCATTTGAAGGATGTAAAGATGCTCTTGTGGTTGAGGCAAAAGAGAGAGTAAAAAAAAAAAAGTGTTCTTGTCTCTGCCACAGACATGCTCAGGGCTCCATCCTATTGAAGTCAATAGGAATGCCACCATTTACTTCAGTGAGTGCAGGATCAGACCTTAAGTGCCTCTATTTCCTCACCAGTAAATACTCAACTCACAGGGGCTTTTTGAGGCTAAATTAATGTTTGTAAATGCTTTGAGATTCTTGGACAAATGAGGCTAGAGAAGGGCAAAGCATTATTAAACACTAAGAAGGGGCAGGAATTGTTTAGGATTATCCACAGTATTATAACTAGGAGTAATGAGAATAAGGGCATGTCTTCACTAGCAATGTTAAAGTGCTGGCTGCGGCAGCGCTTTAATGTGTCTTGTGTAGCCATGGCAAAGCTCTGGGAGACCTCTCTCCCAGCGCTCTAAAACCCAACCCTACGCGGGGAATAGCTCCCAGTGCTGGGAGCGCGGCTCCCAGTGCCTGTGCACTGCCTTCACTGGCACTTTACAGCGCTGAAACTTGCAGCGCTCAGGAGGAGTGTTTTTTCGCAACCCTGAGCGACAAAGTTGCAGCACTGTAAAGTGCCAGTGTAGACAAGCCCTAAGTTTCCATCGGATCACCTCATGATATATCTGTGTGCATATACTAAACAAATGGTAAAATTCACCTCATCCTCACTTACCGATAAGTACCCTCAGTCTAAGTTCAAAAAAAGAAAAATGAATGAAGAAATTTGTCTTACACCATGTCCTCTATTATTGAGCAAAGAAAATATATAGGTATCAGGAATAAATTTCCTAACAAGGAAGTCTTAATATTGCTTTTGTCATTTAAAACTAGACAGGATAGAGTACTCAGGAATTTAAAGGTCAGGTTCCCACTTCAAAAGGAATTAACCCATATTACATACACTTTTTTGATAATTCTTTATGCGGTTAAATATATACCTCAATACATGCAGTCAACGCACAATGGCCAAGGTAAGGTTGTCAGAACCTAGACTTTTATATCAAATCTTCATATTTTGTTGCACTAATGTAGGTGTTTGCATTTAATTTTTTATAAAGAAAAAATTATAGTAAACTACTGCGTGTGCAGTCATTAAGAAAAATTCCTTGTCCTTGTAAATTGGATATTTACCTCATCTGTGGATGAACACATCTGCTAGTGTAAAGTATGGCACCCAATACAACAACAAAATAAATATATGTTCTGGTACAGTGCATCTGAAAGATGATGCAAGGTGATCTTTTCAGCATAAAAGTAGGACAGGTACATCATGGTAATAGAGAAAATTATTTTTCTTTTTCATTAGAACCAATTCCTGTAGGGCATTTGTGGAAGGGTTCAGCTTTTCCTGGTCCTCAAAGTCTGAAATAGTATCTTGTGGCGATAGCATTGAGGAATAAGGTAAGCATCCTGGATTTGATTCAATTCCTGTTCTAGTTTTAGCCCACTTTGCTTATGTAGCAGAAATAGTCCCAGGTTATGTGTGAACTGATTGTTTGACAGTCCCTGCTGGAAACATCACTTATGTTCTAACAGTGCAGTAAATATAAATCACAGAGAAATATCATGACCTACACTGGACAGGGCTGCTTTCTAATTCAAAGGCCACTGCTAATTAATCCTTCCCATAAACTAAAGGGGAGAATACTGTAACCGAGCTAAGTTATCCTGAGCTAAAGAAGAAAAAAAATTCCCTCAGGCTCAAAAAATATTTTACTAATATAACTAATAAATCCTTTCGCCTGCCATTGGTGGAACACAGAAGGTGTTTAAGTGTGCACAACACCATACAACAGGAAGGACAAAGAAGCACAGTTGTCAACTGCAATGCAAATTTAAGGAGGTGGAATGTTGTCATTAGTGATGAAATTTGGCCAGGACACCACAGATAACATCAAGTCTTGGAAAAAGTTCCATAAAATTTTGAATGGCAACAAATAATCAGGACTTCAAATTTACATCTCATCCAAAAGACAGCACAGTGCCCCACAGAACCATGCTGGGGCAATGGAGTAGGGCTGCCTCAAAGGGAAGGGGGTTATTTACTCAAACACCAACATCCCTTCCTGTTACATATGTAATTGTTCCTTGACTCATCTAAGGGCCGGTTTGCACTGGGAGTATTTTTTAATCAATGTAGCTAGACTGGTGCAAGCCCCCAGAGTCGATGCACTTGTGTGGCTTAACCCAGTTTAAATACAGGGTAAACTATACCAGTGCAAGTCCCATATCATATTGGAGTAGCATATCTACACAGGGAGTTTGCCCTAGCACAGCTATGCTGATACAAATATCCCTACTATAGCTAAGTCCTAAGTTTTCAATGTCCAAGTATTCACCAGCCTGACACAGATAAGTTTGCAAGATCTTCCCACTGCCAGGTGATATTGCTGCACGCAGGAAACAAAGTTACAGGAATAAAATTACATGCCTGTTCAAAATAGTTTTAAATTCCTTTACTTTTTGCTTAGTCTCTCTTCTGATCTCCTCAAGTGACCTCCCTTTATGGATTAAGTGCTTCGTTCAGGGTGAGATTCTCCATTGGTATAAATCAGAGTAGCTCCTTTGACTTTGGTAGAGCCACGATGATTTATACTAGCCGAAGGTCTGCCCTCCACCCCCATCTTTCTGCCCTAAATTACACCAGCGAAAGCTCCATGATTGTCATTGGTGACATTCAAATGAAAATAAGCACAGATTTGACCAAAAGTATCTGAAAGGAGTTTAACAATGAGACAGAGTGCCCAATCTGGCACGAGCAGATCCTCTGGATCTCAGAAAATGTTTGCAAAATGTCTTAATTGATTGGTAATTATTTGGATAGCTTACCTTTTAAATTATACTTTATGGAAACGCATAATTAATTAGTACATAGTACTGACATAGTAGGTGGTTAAATTAATCCCAGCATGCATTGCCTGCAGGCCCTATTCCCTATGGGAAGATGGTATTGTAGTTGTTTAGGTTGTTTCCTCAGGATATCTAGGAAGATAAATTCCAGACCCTGTGGTGGACACGCCCATGGAATGAGTCAGATCACCTCAGAGAACACTAAGTATAGGGGGAGGATAGGTTGTTTGCTTGTTTGTTTTTTAAATTTATTGTATAACATTCATTTCATCCATTCAAATAAAAAAAAGACAACTGGAAAATAGCAAATTAATTTACAATGTCCTTTAAACTATTTTATACTACAGTGTTTCTTCCAAACAAGAAATAAAAGCCACAAATATATTCAGGAGAGGGAGAAAATGTCAGTTACATACTGTCTTAAAGTAGGAGTTCCAGACCCTGAAATAAAACACTTCTATCTCTTCTGCAAATGACACAATCCCTAGTGAATTCCAGCGGGAGGGTCCAGTTTGGATTAGAAATAACCTCACTGATATCTGTGAAGTGCTTTTCCAGTCACAGACCCCTATTTTAGGGGAACGAAAGCTGTCATTGAGATGTCCTCACTTGTGTCTAATCAGGGCTTACAGAGTTCTACATTAGCAGAGTATACTGAAACAGCATGAACTGGTGAAAGGTTGAGAGAAAGTAAAGACCAACATCATCCATTAGCTCCTGATTTAGAGAAGACAACATCCAGCGCCTGCTTTTGGTGACAGGCGTAGATGTTGGCAATAAACAGTGTCCTAAAATCACAGATAACCAGCCAGCAAGCCATGAGCTCAATTACACTTGTAAATCAGAAGACTGAGGGGTTTTTTGGTATATCATTCTTTATTGAAGTGCTGTTGTGAAATATAAACAAAAGAAAATAATTTTGAAATGTTGGAAGACAATATTAGGGATTGTGCATAGAAATACTATCCAGCATTAAATTAATTGTACAATGATTTCTGTCCTATCATGCCTTTTTGCCATAAAGGATGACACTATTTTAAAATTTGATTCACTTCAAATCCTATTATACTTCCATTATAAATACACTGATAGTGACCAATTCTCTACTGGCCCCAGTTACACCTGTGCCACCCTACTACCTTCAGTGAGATTCCATGGATGTAAATAAGGGAGTAAGATTGCAAAATTGTAGATGGTATGCTGCATCACTCAGCATTCATTTGTACACTGACTGCACATCATTCAGCACTCTTCAAGAACTGTCACAGTGAAAGAACCAAGGTACTATCTATTATCTTCAATTACAACAGTTCTTCTAGGATAGGCCTCAACGTCCACAAATATGTAATGGTACTCATATCTTCTGCTTTCAGGATTCTCTTTCACTTCCACGTGGACTGTCCTGTGCTTTCCCCATTCTGATCCCCTCATGGCAGAAAGATAACCCCAGAGTAGGGAGGCTAATCCAGTAACTATGAAACATCAGTGGGTAGGAAAGTTTACAGGGAGTTAAAGAAAGGGGGTGGGGAAGTGTTACCCTTGTTTACAATGGATAAAGAAGGCTTGAAACCTTTTTTTTGTTTTAGTTTACTTTTTAGCTTAGAAATATTAAGAATATCAAGTCTAGTTTCTCCTGTTTTCCTGGAAGTCTTACATGGAGAAGTGAAAAATATGGAGTAGGGGTGTGAATAGGAAGAATTTCATCCCTCATTCAGGTTGCACTTGCTTGATAGTTGATATCATAACCTAGTCATTGTCCAGTAATCCATACTCTTTTCCAGGACAAGCACGATCAATAAAATTTGAATTACTAACGTAAATCACAGACTTTTTTAAAAAATTGAAGGCTTTCATCTGTCTCCAGCTTATATATTTTACATTTCAGCCAAAATGGTTCAGTTCTGAGAATGAGGCTAGGGAAAAATATGTTTTGCCCGATCTTAAAAAATTCTTGAGACCTTTTCTTATAACAGTTCTAGCACTTCCTGCTTTGGAACAGGGACTTGAAATTTGGCACAGGGGGAGAGGTGACCTTTGCACCAGGGATGTGAAAATCCATCCACATTTGGACAATTTAGAAGTCTATGAAAAATTGCAGTTTATACACACTCAGATAAGCTAGATCTTAACATTAAAAATCTCCAGAGTCCGTCTTTGTTGAACATGTGTGAACCTCTCATAGTTCCCAGTGCTGACTAGACTGCTCATGTGTCATTCCCAGAGCACCCGAGCATGCTCCATCCCTGGGCTAACCGGCTCACAAGGAGTTTTGCTGTAGAGACTGCTTCTTCCTAGCTTTCCTCAGGTGGAGTGGAGTGGAGCTGGCACCAGAAATGAGAGCAGGGTCTCTCTCTCTCCTTTGACACTCCCCCACATCCCATTACTGGGACCCAGGCAGCATGGAAGAGTAAACTATCTGATGTGAATGTAGAAGGAATGAGAATAGTGGGGGGGAGGGGAGGAGAAGTAGATTGGGAGGAGTGTAGTGAGACTGGGATTGAAGAGGTGGGGGAGAGAAACTGACTGGGATTTGTGAGGGGAACTGTGACTGATTGGGAAAAGAACACTGAGGTCAAGTGAGGAACTGGGCAGAGACTGGGACTCGCTGGCTAAGGAGACTAGGAACCAATGGAGGGGGGGAGAACAGGGACAGGGAAATGAAGAGAGAGAGAGAGAGATCTGGCAAGGAGTTGAGATGTGGGGAGAGAAATGAGACTGGGACAAGGAGACGGGGAGACAGATTGAACAAGGAGCCAAAGGAGGGAAACTTGGACTGGTAGCCAGTAGCGAGGTGGGGAAAGACAAAACTGGACAAGGAGTGAGGAGGGAAGAACTGTGACTGGCAGGGCAAGGAGACTGAACATAAGGAGTTTGGGCGGGATGCAGGGTCTGGAGTGCCTGAATGCCTGGGGAGTGAAGACTGAGACTAGATAGGCAAAGAGAATTGGAGTGGGGGAAGAGACAGGACTGGGACAGGTTGGAGGGGATGGGGCAGAAGGGATCAAGCCTCGGGAAAAGGGATAAGAGTCTGCCTACTAGAGCACGCCACACTCCTCTTCAGAGTCTGGAATGGAATCCACAATTCCTGAATCTCATCATTCCTCTGCTGTCAGGAAATATGTGAAAAACTCACTGGTGAAGTGTGCATCTCATCTCCCCCTAGTGAAGATCTATATCAGTTACTTCATTCATGACAAAGGTCTGTGTGATGGATCTAAAGGTTCCACTCCTGCTGATGAACCATGTGGGTGTCAGTATACCACCACATATGACATTTGTTTTTTCAGTTTGCTTTTTTAAAAAGCTAGGAAATTAAACACACAAAACTATTTAAAAATCATTATCAAGGTAGGAAGAGCCCCCTTGAGAATTTATGGTATAGTCTTTAATTACATGATCACATGCCTCATTCAGTCCACAAGATAGATGTTCAATTAATGAGTGGCTTTTCAATGTTCTGTTTTATTGGCATTGTCCAATATGTGACCAAAGGCCTTATTTACTGCATGCTATTCAAATCCTGCTCTGAAGACAGAATTATTAATTTCTTCCTGGGCTTTTCTATAGGATCTGAGTGCTTCTGCACAAGCATTAATTACATTAATTAATCTTTATAAAACCCTGTGAGATGGGGTGGTGGTACTATCCCTATTTTACCGATGGGCAGCTGACACAGAGAAAGTTTAAAGTCAAAAGGATCCACTAATTTTGGGTGCCTGATTTGAGAGGCCTAGGACATGATTTTTAAGAGTACTTAGCATTCATAGCACTTAATATATTCAAGTACAACTGCGACTGACTTCACTTGCAGCTGTGAATATTTAGTACTTCTGCAAATCAGGCTGCAGTGTTTCAAGGTGGGCACTCAGAAAATGAACACACAGTTAGCAACTTCTTTGGTTTACGTGATTTGCCCAGTATCACATAGAAGCTCTGTGGCAAAGGCAGGAATAGAGTTCAGTACTCCAAGGCAAGATTCAATTGCTTAAAAATCATTAATCCTTCCTTTCTCAACCTGAAACCCCGTCTAATGTGATACATATATTCCAATTTCTACTACAAAATGAGACAGGGGTACTGCACAACAGCCGCCTCCTTTAGTACACAATCCTCATTTATCCTCAGAGCAGGTCTATCCTGTGCATTGAATAAGGTGGAGGTCCTTTGGGGGGAGGGGCGGGAAAGAGTATGTGATCATGTGATTAAAGACAATCATAATACATACATACATGGGGGGCTGAATGCTGAAAATCATGTCCCAGCTAAGGGCAAATCCCATCACTGAGAGTAGAGAATTGTAGATTCCATTCCCTTCAATTCTTTACTTTAACCAGAAGACCATCCTTTCTCTTCTCATTGTTGCCAACTGGAATTTATTTTTTAAACAGTCTTCACTGAGGCATGGAAAGCCACAAAAACACAAACGAGGCACATTTTGTTACATCATCAGAGTGACAGCAGAGGAGCAATGTGAATTACTGTATGTATGTTTCCAAGGAACTCAACATGACATTGTACACAGCATTTCCTGGTGTCAGAGATGGCTCTAAATAGGGTGTCTCCAAATATACACTATTTACATAAACCACAAATGTGCATACTATTTACAGTAGATTCACACTTGCCTCTGTAATTTGCACCATCCTCGGGGCTTGTCTGGATGGGCAGATAGATTTACACCCCAACCTTCTTTGCACTACCTTGAACTAGCTTGCCATGCTAGATATGCTGGAGAGTAGGGATAGGATACAGAGGGACCTAGGCAAAATAGAGGATTGGGCCAAAAGAAATCTGATGAGGTTCAACAAGGACAAGTGCAGAGTCCTGCACTTAGGACAGAAGAATCCCATGCACTGCTACAGATTAGGAACTAAGCGGCTAGGCAGCAGTTCTGCAGAAAAGGACCTAGGGGTTACAGTGGACGAGAAGCTGGATATGAGTCAACGGTGTGCCCTTGTTGCCAAGAAGGCCAATGGCATTTTGGGATGTATAAGTAGAGGCATTGCCAGCAGATCGAGGGATGTGATTGTTCTCCTCTATTCGACATTGGTGAGGCCTCATCTGGAGTACTGTGACCAGTTTTGGGCCCCACACTACAAGGATGTGAAAAAATTGGAAAACATGATTAGGGCACTGGAACACATGATTTATGAGGGGAGACTGAGGGGCCTGGGATTATTTAGTCTGCAGAAGAATGGGGGGGGGGGGAATTTGATAGCTGCTTTCAACTACGTGAAAGGGGGTTCCAAAGAGGATGGATCTAGACTGTTCTCAGTGGTAGAAGAGGACAGGACAAGGAGTAATGGTCTCAAGTTGCAGTGGGGGAGGTCTAGGTTGGATGATAGGAAAAACTTTTTCATTAGGAGCATGGTGAAGTACTGGAATGAGTTACCTAGGGAGGTGGTGGAATCTCCTTCCTTAGAGGTTTTTAAAGTCAGGCCTGACAAAGCCCTGGCTGGGATGATTGAGTTGGGGATTGGTCCTGCTTTGAGCAGGGGGTTGGACTAGATGACCTCCTGAGGTCCCTTCCAACCCTGATATTTTATGCCCTAACTGTCTGTGTGGACCATGCTGCCCTTCATTGAAAGTGGTCTAGTGCACTTTGATCTTCTCCTGTTTCAAAGCAGTGTAGATCAAAGTCCACGAGAGAACTTTCAGTGCAGGGTAGCAGGGTTCATGGACAGATAGTGCCTGGCAGCTTGGGGTGTAAATCTACCTTGCACTAGCATGCCATGCACTGACTGTTTGTCCAGATAAGTCTTCATTCAGTTCCTTTTCCCTTCCCCCCCCTAGAGTGAAGAAACAGTTACCAACCTTTCTGTAACTGTTGTTCTTCCAGATGTGTTGCAAATGTCCATTCCCATGTAGGTGTCTGTGCACTGCATACACAAGCACTGTCCCATGTATGTTGCAGAGCTGGTTCTGCCAGTTCTATATTCAGATGTCATTTTAAGATGACTAAAGGCTGGAAGGAGAGTCTTATATCCTTAACTGCACCTAAAACTACTCAAATCCAATCTTGATGGCTCCCATTGACTAGGACAATTGGTTGTAAATGGCTCTGCTTACTTAAAAACCTTCCTATGTATGTGTGGGCCAGCCCAGGAAGAATGGACGCTGGGGTCTCACAGGACATGTGATCATGTCTCCTGATACTGGAATCCATCTTAAATCTGGTACTTTTCCATTTAGAAGGAGGGGTGGGACCCAGAGAGACAGAAGATTCCCGCCTTGTGCCAAAGCTATAAAAGGGGGTGGAACAGAACAAAGGAGGTGCAGTCATAAGAAAGCCCTTGTTTTTCACCTAGGATGTCTGTTGGAACTAACAGGGACTGTACCAGGGGAAAGGATTGGGCCCAGACTAGGAAGGAGTCAAGTCTGTGAAAGAAGCTTATTGGAACATCTCTGAGGGTGAGGTATTATCTGTAATCAGTTTCTTAATATATTAGGCTTAGACTTGCGTGTTTTTGCTTTATTTCGCTCTGTGACTTACTTTGTTCTGTCTGTTATTACTTGAAACCACTTGAATCCTACTTTTTATACTTAATAAAATCACTTTTGTTTATTAATTAACCCAGATTAAGTGATTAATACCTGGGGGAGCAAACAACTCTGCATCTCTCTCTATCAGTGCTATCAGTGTATAGAGGGCAGACAATTTATAAGTTTACCCTGTATAAGCTTTATACAGAGTAAAACAGATTTATTTGGGGTTTGGATCCCATTGGGAGCTGGGTGTCTGGGTGCCGGAGATAGGAAACCTGCTGAGCAGTTTTCTGTTAAAGACTGCAGCTTTGGGGGTGTGGACCAGACCCTAGGTCTGCAATTGGCTAGCGTGTCTGGCTCAACAAGACAGGATTCTGGAAGTCCCAAGCTGGCAGGGAAAACAGGCTCAATACTAATTTCAGCACATCAGGTGACCGTCCCAAGGGGGTCTCTGTGACCGAACCCATCACACCCCTTGTATAGTCATTGACTATTATATGGAGTGAAAATCCCATATACAGCAGTGGGGCTAAGAGATAACCCTTAAACTTGCTTTACAGACAAACTTGAGTTATAAAGGATAACTTTATAACACACACACCATGAAAATCTCTAGGAAATTTTAAAAAGTGGCAACTTGTACAAGATACGAGAGCCCACACTCTTTCCAGGGAAAACTGAAAAGAACACAGCATATCACTGTTCCATACCTGTCACAGGCTCCCAGGTCTTAGTATTTAAGGCCTTCAGATATTTTAAGATGTGGTCTTTAAGGAGCAATCCCTTATTCGCAACCCACAGGCAACCAACAAGGTCCAGGACAAAGCTTGTGAGGACCAGAGATCAAAGAATCTTGGCCAAGAACCACCACTTCTAGAAAACCGACTGGATGAGATAAAACTAATCCCCAGCCTAAGTGTTTTCAGAGCATACTTTGGTCGTCATTTTGCAAAAGACTTCCGCAATAACAAGACAAGGAACAACAACGGGGAGGCAAAAAAAGCAGTAAACCAAAACAGGCAAATCCAGGAAAGCAAAGAACAGAGACAATTCTTTGGACAGTTCAATATGAATATTAATTAGATTGAAATACTTGAAGAGCTCTGTGTAGCTCATAAACTTGTCTCTTTCACCAACTGAAGTTGCTGCAACAAAAGATATTATCTCAGCCACCTTGAAACACTTGGACATTATGTGGCACAGGCCCCTCTTAGTGGTAAAAAGCTTGTATGAATATTTATATAACAGAAAATAGATCTCTCAGCCAGACTTAGCGGTATTGCACTGTTACTGCAAGTTATTTAAAATCAGAAAGGCTTGAGCTGATTTCCAAGGGCATAAGGGGAAGGGGCCCCTACAATCCTTGAGCTCTTATCACTAAGTAATCCTTAATCAAAAATTAAACAGAGTGGAAAAGGTGAGAGGTATGTGCAATCTATAGTAACCTTTTTCCCCACTAAGGAATGTCTATATTGATTGCTTGTCTTGTGAGATGAACCAGCAGTAGAGACCTTCAAAAGGTGAAAATGACTGTAAAACTGCACTCACAAATCTGGCATGATCTAGAGACCACACTAAGAGAATAATGCTGTATAATAGACATCCAAGCAGCCGCTCTGTACATCTCAATGATGGAAACACTGCTGAGGCATGTAGTGGAGGCTGCTTTACCCACAGCTGAACATGCTGTAATCCCCACAGTTGGCTGAACACCTACGAAGTCACAGTATTCAAGTGTATATATACGTATACGTATGTGTACACACACACACACTTAAATAGTGTGTTGAGATGGACTGATGCCTGGTCTTAACCATATATGCAACCAAATCTAGATGTGAATGAAGTTTGGAGGAAAATAGAAGCAGCTTAATGACTTTATTGAGCTTGAAACTAGAAACCACATTGATAGGAGTTTGGGGTGAGAACACAAGACCACCCGTTTCAGGGCCTGAATCTCACTAACACACCAAGCTGATATGAAGAAACTCACTGTAGGGAAAGTGAAGATACATGATCAATGCTATGGGAGGTGGAAAGCTGAAATTGCAGCTAGGTGGGCTGAGCTCTGACACAGATTTAACAGCATTAAGCATAGTAGAGAGTCCACTACTGTTTTGACTTTGGACTATGTAGGCTCTACCTCTTTCTGAACTTCCCAGGTGGAGACACACTTCCACTTCATTAAGCAAGTTTCCCTAGTTTGAAGCTTCCTGCTTTTGGACCTCAGCAAAACACTTGATCTAGCTGTTAACCTGAGACATTTTGGATCCAGGTGGAGAATCTTGTCCTGACCCTGAGACAAAAGATTTCAAAGACCAGGAAGCAAGACGTGTAGTTCTGATGTTAGTTCTAGAAAGTCAGAGAACCAAAACTGTCAAGGCCAGGTCAGAGCTATCAACAGCATCTTGCCTTGGTCCTGAGTTTATTATTCTCTAATGTAAACCAGCCCCTAATAGCCCTTACACTGTCTAAGATGGTGAGCAAGAGTTAGATGCTTAAATCTGACCCACCTTTCCCAGTATTCCATAAGTTTAAGGTCATACTGTACATTATAAATGTCTTTCTGGTGGCTTCTAATTCGACCTCTTATCAGTCCATTAATCTTCCAGTTTTCTTCCCAAAGATTCACAACTTACCTGAGGAAGCTAGCTGCATAGATTAGGTATCAAAAGAGTAATACACTGTTATCTGGATAGGATAAAGCCTTTTAGAAAAAGTCTCCAAAGCTGTTAACTATCTTCAGGAATAGGTGCTTGGGAAACCAATCTTTGGTCAGACTGTCTAAATAGATCATGGAGAGACAAGGTGGACGAGGTAGTATCTTTTATTGGACCAACTTCTGTTGGTGAGAGACAAGCTTTCGAGCCACACAGAGCTCTTCTCCAGGTCTGGTTGGCTCGAATGCTTGTCTCTCTCACCAACAGAAGTTGATCCAATAAAAGATATTACCTCACCCACCTTGTGTCTCTAATATCCTGTGACCAACACAGCTACACTACATAAATAGATCATGCTCTGTACTGAGACGTACAACAATGAGGCAGTGCAAGAGGGCATTAGGATTGACTCCACCAGATTCAAGCCAATTTCTTCAGCATACATGAGTTCAATTCACTCCCTTAGTCAGCATTACTGCCTCCAATTAGAAACCAAGTCAGATACTTTTTTCTGAAGAGTACTCCAGTTTTTATTTAATTAAATATTATTCAGCCCACCTTACTGGTTTGTTACTAATGGTCAACCCCCCAAGAATACAGTTCTTCAGAAGCAATACCTGATATTAATAGCTCACATATAAACAATGTTTACATCTGTAATGCCTTTGCAGAACCATACTTATCCAGCCCTCCTTTTAAAAAGACTTTGATTATTCAAAAGGAGCAGGGCAGGTTAGGTTACAGGCCCTTTCAAGCTTCACTTCAAACTTCGGTTTCATGTAAGAACTATGTGCAGAATGGAATTTACAATCCCTAGTTTCTCCAGGACAGATTGCCAATAAATATTCTCCACTGCTCCTTCAATAGAACCCCAGCACTGCTCTGAAGGGAACATCTCTTCTAGGCTGAGGTAAATTCACTCTGTTTATTCAATCCTGGAATATTTCATACTTAAATGGAGGATAATTAGCACACAGAGAACCATTAAGATTACCATTGTACAAATCTTGCTCTGAAGAGTTTACAATCTAAATTGGTGAAAAACAGACAAAAGGAGAGGGAACAGGATACCATATAAATGCAAAGTGGTCAGGACAATAGGCTCAAGGTTTGTTAATTTCTGCTTTTTTATTGAGGGAAGGATAAGACATAATCCTGTAAACCCTAATTTTATTTCTATGCCTAAAAGAACCCCTGGTCATGGCAATGAATGAAGAAAATGCGCTTTTAGTTGTACCTCAGTGTTCACCATTAATATTCTTTAAAATCTTTCTTGGAGGAGACAAAATGTCTTTGATTTTACACCATTAAAAAAAACTTTTAGAAGATAGTTACCATTAAAAATAACTTGGAATGCCACACACATTAACATTGTCTCATGTTTGAGAACATAGTATTTCCACTATTTCAAGAATGGAATTTATTTTATATATGCATATTATGTATTATTTATATAGACAATTACATTTCAGAGTCAAATAGATGAATGGGAAGAAACACTGGAGGATAAAAGCCATCCATGGTTAAATGATAGTTTATTTTCACATTCAGACAGCTGTACATTCTTCTATAAATAGACACTAGAATATTTACACCATTTCTCCACCCATTCCTCGTGCATTCCACTCAAAATGGTAAATACCCTGACTGACTAAGCCAAACAGGATTATTTCTGGGTTCAATTACTCAGAAACCTATGTCAAATCAGACAAGACTCCAGCTTGTGTTAGAGCACTCCATTAGATATTTTACATTTAATATTATTTTCTCTAGATCCTCTCTCCTTCCAGCATCTCAGGGGCCTCCCCCCGCCCCGGTAGAGTCCAGTACAGTTCATAAAAAACAAACAGTGTTCAAACATCCATTCTCAGCCTACTTAAAATAAGGTGCGAGATGGATACTTTAACTGAGGGTGCTTCATTACACAGTATTTGCGAAACTCTGAGATATACATGTACAGTTTGACAGAAGCAGTAGTTAAAAAAACAAAATCTGGAACCAGCATTTACAGTACCATCATCACAAAAAGTTGAATCCCCACAATGCACTTCGCATAATCCTGTGGATTTCTGCAGGTTTTCTACAGAACCAGTGTACACAGACTCTAATAGCAGTGCTTTAGGGAGATTGTAGTGATAATCCCACATGTTACATGAGTTTGCCATGTGCTTCAGCCAATAGCTCTCTCTCTTTACTTATTCCTACACACTTAGATTAACTGTTCTAGCTACCATGATATGCATATATTAATTAACTGCACTCTTGGGATGTTAGCAGAGTGGGTCTAATTTCCCATTTGAAAATCACACACGTTACACGCATACCAGTTTGAAGGGGATTTCATAAAGCACAGTCTCCAAATTTCTCCCCTTCATGGTGCCTATCTCTCGCCCACCAGAGAAGAAATAATTCCATAGTTTTATACATGTAACATTCAATCTTAAAGCACCATATCTAATTTTAGGCTATTTCAAAGGAGTTTAAGGTAGCTAGATTGCTCATCTTTACTGAAAAGATTTGAAGGGCCATATGGCAAGAACTCAAAATTGGTGGGTAAAGTGTGAAAACACAGAAGGAAAATAATATAAACTATCACAGTTAAACAACAGGTGATCCATTCAGGACCAAGCTGCTTTCTTTGTGCATATTTTTTGAAGAATCTGAAAGCAGAGGCCTACAGCTGTAAGTGAAGAAATTTGTGACACAGGTACCACTGGAAACAAAAACAACTGAACTCCAGATGCATTAGTCTTCTTGGAAATGGAATTCCAAAGGATTGCCCACAGCAAGCCATCCTCAGTTATAGCTGGATGCTGATGCTCAGAACTGTCTGATAAGCACAGCTGGTGTAAAAACTCCAGTAAGAATGAATTCAGCAGGAGAATGAACAAGAAAGTCTTACTTTTTTCTAAGGGGAAGGACCTGCAGGATCATACATAAATAACCAAGTTCTCACTGGAGTCAGTAATGTGAGCTCCAGTAACAGGAACAGAAATGGGAGTATTACACACCAATGTGCCAGTGGGCAAGCATTTCCCAATATTGTGATCAGCTGGAAACTGGCCGAGGGGGTTTGCTTTTGTTTTCTACCTCTTTCCCACGAACAGCAGCCACATAAGAGAAGAGACACAACACGGAATAGCAGATCTCATGGGCCTAGAAAATGTTAGAAAAGGAGATAATGAGATTCCAGAGTTAACCGCTTCACAAAAATACAATGACAGATTTGTATTTACTGTATATCCTCCCTCCTTCAGAGTCCTAGTCAGAGGGCACCTTTCAGAACAGCATAGAGAGCACTGGCTAGAAAAAAAAGCATGCAGGG